CCGCACTCCCTGCCCCAGGCCGTTCCTTATTCCCGCATTCCCGAGCTGGAAGAAAACGCTGTTCCTCCTCTCCAGACCCGCTGAAATGCAAGAAGCTCATTTTCAGCGCAACTCGCAGAAAAGATATTAAATATCGACACTAATGAGATCAGCCTGGCTCAGGGCAATATTAATATTAATTGGATTAGGTCGAGTTTAAGAGGAAGCCATGTTTAACTTAATGCCTGTAACAAATGAGGAGGAAGGGAGGGAAGTTTTCCTCCTCTATTAAAAAAAGCCAGAGCAGGACATAAATAACATTTGAGAGATGCCATGGCAGGGGAGAGACTGCAGGTGAAGCTCTGAGAGGTCCCTTCCACCCAAAGCATCTCTGGATTCTGTCACATGTGGCCAGGAGAAAAGTGTCCCCCTGTCCCAGCCGTGTCCCACGGCCCTGGCGCCGAGATCCCGGCAGGAATTGTGCTTGTTCCTTTACCTGTGGATTTTATTAACTCCTAGACATTACTGAAAGGGAAAACTTTGTCATTCCAGGGGGATTCTTAAGCCAGGTCGAGTCTGTGGTCTGAACAGAGATTTAACCCCCCAATAAATGTGTAGGGCCAGAACTAACGAGGCCATAATTATGTCCTGTTTAATGCCTTTATTATCTCATAATAGTGCAAACAGGATGTTCCTGCTCCCCTGGGCAGACTTGTGACAGGAGAATAATTTAACTCTGCTTTTCTGCATCTCTTCTCTGTCAGAAACCTCCAGGGTAATTAGTGCAAATGTAATTGGAGCACCCTGGGCTGTGGAAGGTGGCCCTGCCCCAGTGAGTGCTCGAGTGTCCCAACCCTGCCCCACTGAGTGCCCAACCCTGCCCCACATGGTCCCCACTGTGCTGAGGGTCCCCAAAGGCCACAGGAGGGGATTTGGGCTCTCGGTGTTGCTCTGCAGCCAGACCCCTCCGTGTGTGGCTCCGGTGGGATCAGCTCTGCCACCACCACTGGACATTCCCAGGAGTGTCCCACAGGTGCCACCGCTCCTCAGCCCTGGGCTGGAATTCCTGTTTCCATCCCCAGGAATTCCTGAGCTGGAAAGCCCAAATGTGATGAGGTTGTGGATTCCACGATCTGCTTTGGGCAGGCCTTGTTTGGAAACAGAGGAGACCTCGGGATGACGTTCCCGATAACCGAAATCCGTGGGAATCCGGCTGCCCAGCCGTGTCTAATCCCCACCCAGCCTGTTGATCCCGCACCTTTCCTTGTTGCTGTGCTGGAAATTCCTCTGCTTTCCAACACAAGCTCTTCTATTGGAAGGATCCTAAAGACCAGGAGAAGGATAAAAGAGATGGAATGAGGGGAGAGACATTCCTGCCATGCCCCAAATAATTCCTGCGCTCCTCAGAGGGTGGGGCTCCCCTGCCAAAGGCCACGTGCATATTCCTGTTTTCCATGGAGCAATAATAGATATTTATGGGCTGCCCACTGTGCTCACGTCTTCCAGCTGAGATGACGCCGTTCACTTGGGACGGCGTGTGCCCCAAAACTGGGGGGAAGTGCTCAGGCATTCCAGGCTCCTGGGCTGATGAAGAAAAGCAATTAATTAAATCCCACCTTGGCTAGGCCTGGTTCAGTGGGAGTGATCAAAGGACGAAGTTTTGAGGTGTCATCCTGCACTGATGGATGTTGTGGCTGTTTTATCACAGGGATCACTGATGCAGCTCCCGCCCTGCACAGACACCCCAAAATCCCCCCCTGTGCCTGGGAGTGTTTTATGCTGTGTTTTTCCCTGGTTTTCATCCCCCACTGCACCTCCCCTCCACAGGAAAGAATTTCCTCTACCCTGAATTCCTGCTGTTCCACTGCTCCAAGGAGCTGTTATTCATCAAATTCCCGCTTAAAGAGCTGTTTCATGTCTCTAATTTATATCATTTCCATTGCCCTGAAAAACACTCCTTAAAGCTCGTTCCACCCCTGCCATGGCAGGGACAGCTCCCACTGTCCCAGGCTGCTCCAAACCCATCTAGCCTGGCCTTGGGCACTGCCAGGGATCCAGGGACAGCCCCAGATGCTCTGGGAATTCTATCCCAGGGCCTGCCCACCCTGCCAGGGAACAATTCCTGCAATCCCAAGATCCCATCCAGCCCTGCCCTCTGGCACTGGCAGCCATTCCCTGTGTTCTGTCCCTGCAGGCCTTGTCCTCAGTCCCTCTCCAGCTCTCCTGGAGCCCCTTCAGGCCCTGCAAGGGGCTCTGAGCTCTCCCTGGATCCTTCCCTTCTCCAGGTGAGCACTCCCAGCTCTCCCAGCCTGGCTCCAGAGACTCCTCTGGACTGATTTTGGTTTTTATTTAAATTAAAACATGTCCATAAAGCACTCGCAGTAATGTAACTTCCCACTTCAGGGTGTTTATTTTACCAACATTGAACAAATATTGGCACCTCCTCAGCTGAATTAGCCTCGGTGCGTGTGGCTCAGGAGCCTCATTAAGGGTGACCTTCATCACAGGTGAATCTCATTAAGGGTGACCTTTCATCACAGGTGAATCTCATTAAGCATTATCCTCATCACAGGTGAGTCTCATTAAGCATTATCCTCATCACAGGTGAGTCTCATTAGGGTTCCCCCATCACAGGTGATTCTCATTAGGAATTATCCCCATCACAGGTGATTCTCATTAAGGGTCCCCATCACAGGTGATTCTCATTAAGGGTGATCCATCACAGGTGATTCCCATTAGGGTCCCCCATCACCCCAAGGTTTCTGTAAGTGATGAGGGGTTTTGGGGGTGGGCTCTGAGCCCCTGGGCCTGGCCTGGGGTCACTGGGGTGATGTCCCGAGGGTCAGCACACCCCTGGTGCCCTCTGGGGCCTGTCCCTGCCCCTCTGTGCCCCCTCCAGTGCCAGGCGCCTCTTGGATCCAGCCTTGGATCCCTCTCCCGGCTCCCTCCCTGCCAGGCTGAAGCCTGAGGGCTGTAATTTGTCGTCTCCTGTGGTTTTAGCTGTTCTTTAACACGATCCCCTCCTGTCTGGGGCATTCAGGGTGCCTTTACTGAGCTGCACTCCCAGCCTGGGGTGTTCAGGACACCTTATTCCCAGCCTGGGGTGCTCAGGACACCTTTATCCCACCATGGGGTGTCCAGGACACCCTTATCCCAGCCTGGGGTGTTCAGGACACCTTTATCCCAGCATGGGGTGTTCAGGACACCTTTATCCCAGCCTGGGGTGCTCAGGACACCTTTTCCCAGGCTGGGGCCTGGCTGCTCTCCTGCCCTTTGGAGGAGCCGGGCTGGGCTGGCCCGAGCGGGCCCCTCCGGCTGCCAGACCATCCTGCACGTTTCCAAGGGAAATCAGACACAGGAAATGTGTTTTGGGGGCTGTTTTTCAGTAAATGCAGCTGGGGTCCCTCGGTGCTGCCTCCATCCCACCGCGGTTTTGCCGTGGCCCGGCAGCAGCGGGTTCAGGCCGGCCTGGGCGGGACGAGCGGGGCCGGGAGCGGCCCGGGGCTCCCCTCAGGGCTCTTCTCAGGGCCCGGGGCTCCCCTCAGGGCTCTTCTCAGGGCTCCGGGGGCTCCCCTCAGGGCTCCCCTCAGGGCTCCCCTCAGGGCTCTCCTCAGGGCCCGGGGCTCCCCTCAGGGCTCCCCTCAGGGTTCTGGGGCCACGGCTCAGCTCCTCGGGTCACCGCTGCCTGGCCTCAGAGCCTGCCTGGAAAATGTCTTGGGTGTCCAGAGCTCCTGAGAGCCTTTCCAACATGGAACAGCCTAAATCCAGGATTTAAATTTTCCCTGAGGGTATAAAATGACTGTTTCAGAGCCATCCTCAGTTTTGGGATCCCAAAGGCTCTTCTGCAGAGTTTATGCTCCTCAGGATCTGGACTCAGAAGGGAGATGGAACAGCTGATTCATTTTAAAAAAACCCCAAATTCAAAAAAAAGTTCTTTACGTGTGTCCTCTAATAAAAGTCAAAGTTGTTTTGAAAGCTTTCCTCTGTGAAATACAACCACAGAGAGAAGTGACACATGTTAACAAACCCCTGTCTTTTTTATCTGGAAAACTCGTGCACATGGAAATTCCTTCTCCAGACCCAGGAGATGTTTTTTCCTTGCTGGTGCTCTGCAAAGGGACCGAATCTCCGTGGCTGTGCCGGGTTTGGGAGCTGCAGAGGGACGGGGGAGAGCTCAGCTGTGGGGACAGTGAGGGCACACTGTGGGGACACTGCGGGGACACTGCGGGGACAGTGAGGGCACACTGCGGGGACACTGAGGGCACACTGTGGGGACACCAGGACACCCAGGGACACCCCCAGGGATGGGGCAGCCGCAGCTCCTCCATGCCAGGGCCTGTCCCGGTGCTCCAGCCCTAGATTCCGAGGAATGTCCCCGCAGCAGCTCCCCAGGCTCTGCCCTGTGCAGAAACCGAGCTGTGAAAAGCCGAGTGTCATTTTGAACAGCCTCGGGGCGAGTTCAGCCTTTTCCTGGCTGCTGCTGGATCCCCAGAGCTGGGCCACTTCCACTCCTGCTGTGCCTCTGGGACCTGGCCCAGGACCTGGGTCTGGAGCTCGGTGACCCTCCCAGCCAAATTTTCTGACTGCTCCATGTCACCAAGCTCAGCAAAGCACATCCCCTTTCACTCTAAGATCTTGGAGGTCTTTTCCAGCCTCATTCCACAAGCCTGTGGTTCTCCAAAGCCTCTTGTTCCAAGCAGCTTTGTGGGAGAACGTTGCATTTTCTTTCAACGCGTTCAGCTTTAACCTCTTGGGTCTCGTGTGCTGAACCCCCAGGAAAGAGCTGGGAATGGAAAATCTGTGCCCTGCAGAGGGAAATTGCCACACAGACCCCAGAATAGGAGCTACTAAATAAACTGCAGGACTTAAATAAACTGAGAGGAGCAGCAGGGCTTGGTGGCACTGCCACTGTCCCCTGCTCCTGCCAGGGCTGGCCCAGCCCTGCTGTGCTGATGGATGGAGCTGGGGCTGGAGCTGGAGATGGGGCCGGAACAGGAGCAGGAACAGGACAGTCCCCTCTGCAAAGGGGCATAGCCCTGGCACCCCAGGGCTTCCCCTGGGCTGGCTCCTGGCACCTGAGCCCCAGAAGTGCCACCTGAGCCCCAGATGTGCCAGGGAGAGCCCCCAGCTCCGGGGTGTGACCCCCCCAGTCACCCCCAGCAGCCCAGGAGTGTCCCCTGCTCTGTGACCCTGAGACCACCCCGCGCTCGCTGCTGGGGCTGCCCCGCTCCTGGGACTGTCACATTTTGTGTATCTTGGCAGGATATCCAGGAGAACAAAACCTGGCTCCCTAGCAGGGGGAAAAAATGGTGTTTTCTTTTTATTTATTTATTTTAAACAACTTCCTCTGCTGCTTTCCATCCCCAGGGCTGTACACAGATCCTGCTGAGCCAAACTCTCTGCTGTTTATTTTTAGGGACAAAAACAATCTCCTGGTGCTGCAGCCCCCGTTGAATCTCCCCAGAGCCCGGCTCTGGAAGATCTTTCAAACCACTCCCATGCCCGCAGATGCCTCCGTCTCCTCCTCCATCCTGCACCTTGCAAAACTGGAAGCAGCAACCTTTGAGGCTGGCCAGAAGGAATAAAGTGCATGGGACAGCTCAGGTTACTGCCTTTAAATCAGGCCATTTCCCAGGGGTGGAAATGTGCGGGGGATGTTCTGGGGACGTTGTTGGTGGAGATCAATGTGATTTTTTGCTGCTGTTTCAGGCTCAGGAGCTGGGGCAGGATGGACATCAGCACTTGGCTGTGCCTGAGGGACCTTTGGACATCACCTCACACTGAGAATTGTCCTTCGGCCACCCTCGGGGACAGGGCCAGGGTCACATCTGTGACACGGCTTCAGTGCCAGGGGTGAAGTGGAGGGGAGTGAGGGGACCTTGGCACAGGAATTCCCAGAGCAGCTGGGGCTGCCCCTGGATCCCCGGAGGGTCCCAGGCCAGGCTGGAGCAGCCTGGGACAGTGGGAGGTGTCCCTGCCATGGCAGGGCTGGCTCTGGGTGGGCTCTGAGGTCCCTCCCAACCCAAACCAGCCCAGGATTCCATAATTCCATAATCCTAAAATAATTTGGGAAAGGGCTGCACCTGTTGCTAGGGATTGATTGATTGATTGATCTATCTCTCATTTATTTATTGCATTTCCAGCCAGGCTCTCGCTGAGCAGCCCCAGCTGAGCTCCATCAGAATCCTTGGGCATGGAAATGCAGAGCTGGGCTCTGAGCTCTGAGCATTGACTGTGTGCTGCAGCTCCAGCTCCCAAATCCACCTCTGCCCTTTTCCCTGTGCTCCTGGTGCTCTGCAGATGCTCCTGGGGTGTCCTGGGCCAGTGGGAGGTGTCCCTGCCAGGGGGGGATGATCTTTAACTCTCCTCCCAACCCAACCTGGAATTCCCTGGGTCTGGGTAATTCCCTCTTTTTGAAAATTGCCAAAAGCTTTTGCCAGCTTTGCTGCTCCAGCTCCACTTCCAGCCCTGTTCCCTTCCCCACACTCCCAGATTCCCTCCCCGTGCTCCACTGGAAGCTCGAGGGCAGCTCCTGGCTCTGGATCCTGCCAGACATTGGGACCACGGGATAACCCCCCACCTGCCCAGGGAAATGGGAATAAAGGAGTTTAAAAAGGTAAATCCTGATTAGAAAGCAAAGGCTGTCCTGTGGAGAGAAGATGGGGGAGAAAGTGGACGGGATTGTCCAAATGGCAAAGCCTGGGCTGCTGTGCCATAATTGCTATTTATGAGGCAGGGGAGAGCACTGGGATGTTTGGTGCCATGGCAACCGCTGCTGCCAAAGGATGGATCAATAACCAGCTGGAAAGAAATAAACGGCAATAAAGGCAGGATGTGGGGGAGCCGTGCCTGCTCCTGCTGGCCCGGGTCACAGTGCTGCTGTGCAGAGAGAGGAATAAACTGCAGAGTCCTGAGCTGCAGCCGAGGCGGGGAGCTGGCCTTGGCTCCATCCCTTCCTCAATCCTCAGTCCCTCCGTCCTGGGAGCTGCGAGGGTGGAGACCAGGCTGGCACATCCACAGCACCTCAGCAGCTGCTTTTAGGGGCTGCAGAGTTTCAGTTCTGAGTTTCCATCCAGGAAACAGGATGCAGGGATGGGAACAGGGACATGAACAGGAGCAGGAGCCAGGAGCACGAGCAGGGACAGGAGCAGGAGCACTCCCCAAGCACCACGAGTGCTGCCTGACACCACTGCTCCAGGAGCTTTCACTTTGGAGGGAAGGAAGTGGTTTGAGGTTTGGTTTCTTTCAAAGAACTGTGGCTATTTTGAACGAGGGAAGTTGTCCTGTTCAAGAGCACTCTGAGTCAGGGCTTTTTGCAAGGAAAAAAGTAGCTTAAGGAAGAAGTTAATGGCAGACAAACCACGTGCATCTCTTCTGGGAAAGCAAAACCAACCTCCACCCTGTTCTGATCTATTTTGGGGTGTGGATTAGAGGAACCCCAGAGGTCACTTCCAACCCAAACTGTTCTGTGATTCTACAGCCCTGCAGAAGGTTGAAAAAAAGCCTGACAGATGGAACACTGGGGGTTTTGGGGATTTTTTTTGTTGTTGTTTCGCTTGTTTTTTGTTTTGTTTGTTTTGGTTTATTTTTTTTATTATTATTATTATTATTTTTGGTTTTTAGGGTTTGTTTGGGTTTTTTTGAGGGTGCTGCTATTCATACTCTGGTTTAACAGTCCAGCCTGGAAGAAAAAAGCATAATTTGAGCCAAGGGGAATCATAGAATCACAGAATATCCTGAGCTGGAAAGAATTCACAAAGATCATCAAGCCCAGACTTTAATATTCCCTGGGAAGTGTGGAGATGTGGTTCCAATATTCCCTGGGAAGTGTGGAGATGTGGTTCCAGTATTCCCTGGGAAGTGTGGAGATGTGGTTCCAGTATTCACTGTGGAGATGTGGTTACAAATACAATGGGACTGAGAAGGAATGGGGCACTCAGTGCTCTGGCTGGTGCTGAGGTGGGGATGGGTCACAGGCTGGATTTGATGCTCTTGGAGAGCTTTTCCATTTCATTAACTCTGGGAATCAGCAGGTTCTCCCTTTCTTGTGGCCTGTTCTGAAACCAGTGGAGATTTCTCCCGTTCCCCATCTGCACCACTGGAGGCTGTGCTGCCTTGGGAGGAGAAATGGTCCCTTCAGAGCAGAGTTCCTGCTGAGGGGACACTGAGCCACCCAGGGGACTCTGCAGGGGAGGCTCGAGGTCTCCTCTGTCCCTGGCCAGCTTTGAGGATCAGCCTTTGCAGGAGCAGCAGCGGTGCTGGGAATGCTGGGCTGGGAATCCCAGAGCTCTGCCCTGCCCAGCTCCTGGGGGCTCGGGGGCTTTGTGGGGTCGGTCCCCACGTGGGGCCAGCCCCAAGGAGCGGCTCAGGTCCCCCTCGTGTCCAGAGGGACACTCAAAGCCCGGCTCCAGCTGCCCAGCACTCAGGAGAGGTACGAGGCAGCCGAGGAATGAGGATCTGAGGATGCAGGAGAGCAGCTCCAGGGAAATCTGGGTGCTGGGGGGTTGTTCCCACCCGGGGCCACTGCTCTGCTTAATGCAGGGTTTCATTAAGGCCATCAGGGCTCCTGCTGAGGCTCTTTGGTTCTGCCCCCACAGGAAATGAATTGATGTGCTTGGTAAAATGCTGCAGTTAATATTTAAATGCCACGGTTGAAAGGGAAAAGGGAAACAAAAATAAATTACCTTTCTTCAGCGCTTACAGCAGTTTAATTTCACTCTGCAAACACTTAGAATAAAAGAAACACCTTTCAGACTCCAGACTGTGGAATTATTAATGTCTTTATGGGGTAAATGTGCTGTTTGTGTTCTCCCAGGCTGCCCATGGAATAATTCAGCGGAGCAGGGGCTGAATTTCCCCGGGCTGCCCTTCCTGTTGGGAAATGGGAAACATTCCAGCCCCTTTCCCTGCCAGGGGCCACCTGCCCGGTCTCCCAGAGCCTGTGGGGCTGGAGGAACAGGGCAGGGTCCCATGGGCTCATCCTGGTGCCCATCCCAGCACGGGGGGATGGAGCCTCACTCCAGGCTGGAGCTCCGAGCGCTGCCTGGGAGAGGCTCCTGCCCTCGGGAGAGGCAGCTGTTCCCAAAGGCCCTGTCCAGAAATCCCTGGAGAAAAATCCCCGTGAAAGATCAGGAAAACAAGGGACAGACATAAAATGTCATCAATTGGGTCATGCCCCACAAAATCTGGGGGATGCTCAGGTCCAGCATGGAAACCAAACCCAAAGCAAACCCATCATGGAAACCACACCCATCATGGAAACCAAACCAAACCCAAACCACACCCATCATGGAAACCACACCCATCATGGAAACCAAACCAAACCCAAACCAAACCCATCATGGAAACCAAACCAAACCCAAACCAAACCCATCATGGAAACCAAATCAAACCCAAACTAAACCCATCATGGAAACCAAACCAAACCCAAACCAAACCCATCATGGAAACCACACCCATCATGGAAACCAAACCAAACCCAAACCACACCCATCATGGAAACCAAACTAAACCCAAACCACACCCATCATGGAAACCACACCCATCATGGAAACCAAACCCAACTGGAAACCAAACCCAACTGGAAACCAAACCAAATCCAGCATGGAAACCAAATGCAGTGTAGAAACCAAATCCAGTGTGGAAATCAAACACAAACCAAACCTGGCTGGAAACCAAATCCATCATGGAAACCAAACCCAGCTGGAATCCAAACCCCACAGGGTGTAGGGAAGAGGTAATGGAGGGGGCACCTGCATTCCATGTGGGCTGAAGGCAAAGGCTGTGGTGGCCTTTGCAATCAATAAATGTCACATCACAGTGACATCACAGTGACATTGCCATGATTAACCCTCTGCCACGTAATGTCTGGGTCACCCCTTGGCTTCCCTGGAAAATGTCCCTCCAGGGCTCAGCATTTCCCCTTTTCCCATGACTGGGTGGATGGAAAATGAAACTTGGAACTGGAAGCAGTGTTGGAAGTTGGACAATGCTGTGACAGGAGTTGATTTTCTGCTTTTTTATATTTTTATGTTTATTTTTAAAGAGTTTTTCCTCCTTTTCCAGGCTGTGCTCACCCCTCCTCTCCTCAGCTGAGCTCTGCAGCCTCCTGAGGTCCTGACATGAGGAGCCAGCCCTGATTTGGTGCCTCTGAGCCTCAGCCAGGCCAGGCTCTTCCCAGGTGCTCGAGCCGCCCTGGCAACTCTGGAGCTGTTCTGTTCCTGTGTCCGTGGGATGCTGTGGAAGGGATGGAATTTGCTGCTGTTCCCAGGGAATGGCTGCAGCTCCCAGCAGTGGAACAGGGAATGAGCTCACCCAGCTCTCAGCAGACACTTGAGGGCAAAAAACGATCAGACAGGTGAGACTGGGCCAAAACCGTTCTTTTTTCAGCATGGCCACAGAATGTGGCAGAGAAGGGAATTTTGTGGCTGTCCATCCAGCTGGGAGCCAACAGGCCGCTCTGCCTTGGAGAGCCTCCCTGGAACTCAAGGAAATTAAACTTCCTTGGGTATTAAGTAACATTAGAAAACTTAATTTTAAAACGCCATAAATAGTGAGCAAAGCACAAATAAAATCTCTGCAGCCTCAGGCTCAGCCCTCGTGGGCCGGGCTCCCCTCTGCCTTCAGAGCGGGAGGATTTGCAGAGAGGATGTTTCGGAGGAGACAAAAAAGCTTCCCAAAAAAGGAATAAATTGTGGCTCTTGTGCTTAATTTACAGTGCTCCATGATCCTGCTGGGAAAGGCAAGGTGCAGCC